CCCACTGTATTCGAAACTTTGTGCCGACCAATCGGTTGGTCAACTCGGGTCGCACACCAGGCAATGGTGGGTGAGTCTCCCAATAAGGATTTTCTGTATTCACAAGGACTCGAACTTGAAGCGACATCAAACTGTTTACCACTTGAGTCAACCTTTTTAAATTTACTTTTGATATATAGTTAATAAGAAAATAAAAATTATAATGATTTTTTTTTAACTTTTCACAAATGATTTTTTCATGAACCTCTTTCAATATATACAGAAAAAACGTATGGATACATCGATTGAAATTGATTGAAAATATCATGGGCATAAAACATGGATTTGCAAACCATAAAGAGAAGATCATTCTCTATTGTTTTGCACAAATTAGTAATTAACTAATTACCAAATTAGATGACATCTATAGTAACTATCTATATGTTGTTTTGATTTCACGACTAAAGATAAAATTTTACGGCCCATCCATCTGTTTTAAGTGCATCAAAACACCGAAACTTCAATTAAGTGCCTCAAGTACCTAACTTCAAAAGCCTAATAATGAATTAATTGAACATGAAAATGAAATATATTTAGTAGAGTTTTTGTCATGTAATGCCAATTAATTAATTAATTACTATATATGAGTGGCCCTTTTCAAAGACGTGTTTATAATTAAAAATTTGATTTCATTCATTGTGGAGTAGTTATGGATACCTGTAAATTAAATAATCACTAGTACTAATACCCATGTTGTAACAACATGGGTGTTGAGTTAATGAATATATGTGTAAAGTTATTTATGTCTAATACCAAACCTAATTCCAGAGCAAAAATAATATAAAAACATCACGAAGCATAGATTTTCGCCATGTCAGCATTCGAAACGTAAGAATGTGCCACTTAGGCTCAACATGTTTTGAATTAATATATAGGGAGGGATATGATCATGTTCACAATGCATTTTTAATTAATTATGGTTACTAACCACCCCAACAATTTCATCATTCTAGAACAGGCTGCAAACGAGCCGAGCTGAGTCGAGCATTAACCTTATCGAGCATGATTGATTTTTTTTTTGAGCTCGTCGACCTCGATTTATGAGGCTCGAGCTTTACTCGATAAAAAAATACAATAGCTCGATGAGCTCGGCTCGAGTTCGGTTCGAAAATTTTCAAACAATTTTGTAAAATTACTATTAAGTACATATATTAACATTTATGATGCATATATATAAGAAGTATTTTAGTAATTTAACATATATCTCGAGCTCGTCGCCCATATTATTTCTCTTCGGCCAAATTTTATTAACCAAGCATTTTTTTTTTTTT